CATGTGCCTGTAATTTTGACCAGCACGCTTACCCTTCTAAACCGGAACACAGTAATGCTAACATTACTGCTTGGCGGCAGAAGTAGGCAAGGTGGCAGTACTTCCCAGGACGAACTCTTTCACAAGGAGCTCTACTGCTGCCAAATGTCTCAAATCTCATCGATACTAATATTTTGAAGTAACTCTGTTACATTTTCTAACCTAAGCCGCTAAACCAAATTTGATGAATTTTGGTATAGAGATAGATGAAACCTAGGTAAGGACATAGGCAACTTTTTGTCGCAAAAGTAAATTGTAAAGGGAGCGAAATAAGGAATGAAAGTTTGTATGGAAAACCAATCATTTCTCAAAGTGTCTGAAAATTCATACTTATGCCTTTTGCAAGAAACAGACAATATTACAGAATTTTTTTAACAATTACCCTTCAAGGTAACGTACATTTTTACACCTGTAGGGGAGAGCGGGGCTGAAAGTGCCGATTTTGACAAATCCTTAAACAAATCGGTTGTAACCAAATGCTACGGTTAGTAGGTCTAATGTATCTTATGTAAAATTTCATCTATATTTTAAATGTATACGAAGTTTTTGTGCATTTTGAATAGCTTTTTATAGAAAATTAATTTTATGAACAGCGGTGGTAAGGCACTACTGACCCCTCTCTGGGGCAAGTTGTGCCGTAGCTGAGGTCGGTTGTGCCGTTCATCATATTTGGCCTTTAACATGGACTAAAATGGACTTAGAAATAAGAAACTATACAACTTGATAACTTTATATTTATTCCTAATAAATAAAAAAAATCAACATTTTTATAGTTAGGCAATATTTAACTAAACATAAGCAATAAAAGACAATTCTTCGTGGTATAGCAAACACAAAGTATGTTCTATATTAATAATTTGTACTTAATTTTAATGTACACCCGTCTTCAATGACCGCGTCAGCAGCCCATTGTAACAGGTCCTGGGAAGTAGTTCTCCTCCTTTTTGCCTGTATTTTCTCATTCCATCAAACAAAATAATAAAGGTTAATAAAGGTTCGTGGGGGTTGGTTGTGCCGCGGCACAATTGACCCCTGATGAAAGGCACTTTTTACCCCGTTTGGACGACGTTAACATTTTATCATGTGACAAAAAAACAATCTGCTTATAGCGTTAAAATGGCATAAATTAACATTATTGGACAAATTGCAAATGTATTAGTATAACTCCCATATCCGTAGCACCAGAAATGCTAACTTGAGACCAAAAAGTATGAACACAAAAATATTTACTCACGTGGCGCTGGAGGACCCCTACACACACTATCGTTCCGTGTGCATCGCTGATGCAAAAAAATTGTCCGCCGTGTATGCGCTAGACCACCTGATTTGAAGATGAAATATGAACATAAAGCTATCTCTTTCCGTTTTTGAGATATTTGCATCGGCACAACTTACCCGCGGCACTATCAGCCCCGCTCTCCCCTACATACCAGATCATACCTCTCATATACAACTTTTATAAAAAGAAAACTAGGATTTCTTATATTAGTATAGTTGGAATAGAAATTACTACTACTACTTATATCGTCAAAGTCAAATAAATAATCATATATTCCATAGATAAAATTTTTATACTTGAACACGTCATTTTTTAAGCTACTGGGGCCTTACCACGAACTCTTATCGCGATTCAACTTTGAACCTAAACAAGTTCGTTTCGCTTATTTGTACCATGACGTCCTAAAAACAATCATCCAAGAGCATTTACACCAACGCCAGATCAAATCCTAAATTGAGCCGCAACTCCTTTGAAATCTATATTATTCATTCATTTTTCGTACCATGACATGCTATTTGACGTTCACGGTGCTGACTTCACTCGTTATTCACAACGAACAAGAAACTCTTGGAATTGCTCTTGAGTATTACAGTTAATATATATCAATAGTGACTACGACCATTATGATTTCTGATCTCCAATTAACCTAACCTAATACAGTACAATTTACTGCAACGAAATCACCCTTACTATGTATAATTAAAAAATCAAGTGCATAAAGGGGAGTTATTGCTAAACAAACTATATCTCAGTTAACTTATGAAAGATAATGCCTGTCTCATCACACCGTGTGAGTGCAATCAGCCACTGTCGTCGAGTCGTATACCCTGATGCCCACGATGATAAGCTTCTCGATATCATGCAATGTGGCTAAAGTATTGTAAAATATGGAAAATATAAAAGGAGACCAATCTTTTGAACCAATATATATAATATATAAATAGCAACAATGAGTTATACTCGTACATAAAAACGCATATAACGATTAATGGAAAATAGAGTTGTTCGGTTTTCGCGATTGTTATGAGGTGACATATAAAATGAAACTATTTTTTCGGATTTAAGTGAGTATATTTTTATTTTCAAACAAACCAACGTCTCATGGTCAATCTTGGTCAATCGTAAATCATTCATCTTGATTTTTCAGTTGCAATGTAAATGGTTTCATTTCCTGTGATTAATAGAGAATTCTTTTTAAAGTTGAGTGAAATCGTAAGTTTTAGTTACGACAAAAATGATACTTACGACAATCAGTGAAGAGGACGATATTTCGCCCCGATACTGTCCAGAATAAGCCGCGCGCAACTCTCACCCGTTATAAAACCGTAGTCTGGCCCCGCCACGGCCACAGTTTGGCCCGGTGCGTTGCCTCGCGAACCGCCACGCCACTTTTGCTCCTCACTCATCGTCCACACGCACGCAACAATGGTGAGTTGACTAAAGTATATTTCAATCTTAGAATTATTTATTTACATGTCCTAGAACTTGAAATCACACCCCGCTAACCGATAAGAACGTTGAAATTTGATATTAAAAGCTTTTCGCTTCTGAAGAATAAGTTTAAGTTAATGAAAATGTATATAGTCGAATCAAATGTGGGTTCATATTCAATTGTAAATGTTTAGTAGCAATAGCTCTCGCTAACGTTGAAGGAAGATATCATGAAGAAATTTGAAAGTTGAAGAAAGTTCACCTTTAAAGTGCTTAAGAAGCCCCAACCCTCATTGTGCCGCCGAGGTGGACTATTGCTAAAACCTTCTTAAAAGAGAGCCGTACCTAGCCGTGAGCGTAGGTTGGTGATGGTGATGAAGCGTTGTTCAGAAAGACTCAGGCGCCTGTAAAACAGGTTACACCTAGGAAATGAAACTATTTTTCCGGATTTAAATCCGGACAATCGCGAAAACCTAAGAACTCGATAGGTTACACCTAACTCAGAAATCAGGGACTTTATTTTAAAAACTGTAACGAGAAACATTATTGCAAGTAGTCAATGTTATGCTTAATAAATTGTCAACATACCTACTGTGCTATTCGTTAGTACGTTGATGATGACAAGTACAACATTTAGAGAAAACAAAGCTTCGTATTTTTTCTACAATGGTTGTAGAAAAAATCTATAATTTAGGGTAACTGCTTTGATGCGTTTGATTCGAATACTAAGGAGTAACAGGTAAAAAAGCCATTATTTTTTTTAGGTTACGTAAGTTTTGAACTATCAAGGTTTCCTGAAGTCAAATGCGCAACCTTCCGTGCTATAGGGCGATTGGAACAAAATTGTATCATTTGACTCACAGTTATACCAGCCGTATCGATACTGCTTAGGTCCTTTATTATTTACATTTATACGTTAATGGGAACATAAAGTAGGTACATAAAATGTGTATTGGAAATGATTCTTTTTTTTCGGATTTAAATCACATATTTATTTTTACAAACAAACCAACGTTTCGGGATCGTTACAGGTCCTATGATCACATACTTTTTGAATTTTCTCGATTTGTACACATTGGAAATGAAAGTAGTAGTGGGTTTAGTAGCAGTAACTGTAACTCCTTGTGAAAGAGTTTGATAAGGTTGTAAACCACTAATATGTCGTGATCAGGATCACGGCAATAAAGTAGGATACTTCGGTCCACAACAATTTATTTCATAGTGAAAAGGCAAAGAAATGCTGGAACAAGAAAAGGTATATTAAAAAACAGGTACAACGCTACAAAGCACTCCTTATTTAAATACTAATCGTGAGACAGACTTACCCCGACAGAATTACAGCCGAACTGCTCGCTACAGCAATTAAGCAGGAAGTGACAACGGAACGAAACAAAATGATAATGCTGAGGCAAAGTAATTAAAGAACGCTTCAAAATTTGAAAATAAGTGGCTAGGAACAGAGCAAACGTGATAATAAGGTGGATTGTCGATATAAGCGGGTCACATCGTCCCAGGTTCGTCCAGGAAATACCACCACCATACCTATTGCTGCCGCCAAGCAGTAATGTGACCATTACTGCGCTCCGGTTTAGAATGGCAAGGGTGTTGATGGAATTATAAGCAAATGCGAGTATCATGTGATCCCGGGACTGATTGCTTGACAAAAATAATTTAATTTCAGTCGCATCCAGTCCCGGATTCAGTAGCACCTCGAGAAAGTGGCAGTGCCCCTCAGATCTTTCCGATTAAAGCTACTGATACGATGCAACATGTGTTCGTCCCGTCACTAATCATAAAAAAAAAACAATTTTTCGGACCTAAATAGGGTGCATTGTTTTTTCAAACAAACCAGCGATTCGGGCTCTTTGGTGATGGTGACTTATTATAAAAAAGAGTGATTTGCATTAATGTTAAACATAACTGGTTGACGACTATAAGGTCTCAGTCAGCTGCGACAATAGGATCTGTTGTAAAGAGTCAGTTTGTTTTTATTTAAAAAAAAAACAAATAGACGCGACTAAGATCCGAAAAAAAAGTACAGAGTACTAACAAAACCGACCTCAAAAGTCATTCATCCCCTAGTTTGCCACTCTTATAGGTGGAATATTTTCTATTTCTATTTTCACATCTGAGGTTACCCTCTTTCCAACAAGAAAAGAATCATCAAAATCGGTTCACAAAATGTCCAAGTTATTGCGGAACATACATAAAAAAAAGCAATCAAATTGAGAACCTTCTCCTATCTTTAAGTCTGTTAAAAATACTTTCATTTCCAAAACTATCTAAAATTTCATCCTGGATGTGGCTTTATATTTATGTGGGACTATAGTATGGGGTACCGATGCAAAAAATATTAAGTTTATCCTGGACAAAGAAATATACGAGCGATTTCCGTGCCGCAGAACTATACTCTAAGCTGGGATTATTAACTGTACCAAGTTTGTGTATTTTACCGTTAAGTAAGTTTGTGAAACAAAGACCAGATCTAATCAGAAGAGCAACTGTACGAGGAAACCTGATAGTTTGGAGCAAGCTCGATTCTTGTCCTCAGAGAACATTGCAAAGAAAAGTTAAAGTTTCTACAACCGAAATTAATCGATTTTTTACATAATATATATTAATTTTTTTTTTTCACATAATTTGTTCCACGTAGTTTGGATTTTTCCATGTGATGTGACAAAATAGCAGTAGAGCTCCTTGTGAAAGAATTCATTCAGGAAAGTACTGCCATCTTACCTATTTCTGTCGCCAAGCAGTAGTGTGAGCAAAGCAGCGATCCGGTTTTGAAAGGTAAGGGTGCTAGTGAAATCACAGGCACATAAGACTTGTCAACGTATGTCACTAGGAATCATAAACATAAATAACATTGTGATTATATTATACCAGGGCTACAAATTGTGTTTTTTGTGGCACAAGCAAACTTTACTGTGCGAACATAGGCTGACACGCAAGCAAAACACGAAGTTCTCATATTCAGCAGATCCTAAAATTGAGCAAAACAATACCACTCACAAAAAATATAACCACTAATTTTCGACCCAATTTCCTTAGTTAACTTTAAATTACTCTGACTTAATTAAAGAAAATCGATAAATTTCATTTGATTCAATCAATTTGGTCGGATCGAATCAATCGATGAAACGAGACGCTGAATGGCACGTCAGCGAGTGGTCGAGTTTAATTCCCTTGTAATATACTGTAATTTGACCACAAGCTAACTAGTGTGCCCTAAATGGGAGACAAAGGAAGCCAACGCACAATTACAATGCGAGCTATTTTATATTATTAGACGACCTCGGTGGCCCAACAGTTTATACTGTAGGCACTGGATGAGGAAGTTCCGTGTTCGATTCCGTCCGTGAATTCCGTTGCTTTGGTACCCATAGTACATTTGACGAACTCGTCTCGCCCAACGGTTTGCAACGTGGTCTTTGAAAGTGAGGTCTCAGGTTCGATACCCGGTAGGACCAATTTGGGACATGAACTTTTATAAATAGGTTCTGGTTTGGGTGTTGTGGGTAGTGCCTCAGAGTGAATTCCGCTCCTCTGGTCCTCATTGTACAGGAAATTCCCTAGTTTAGGACCGATAACTGATAAGTCTCCCAGTGCCCGTTCTTGCCATAAAACTATATCCAAAAAAAATTATGAACCTACTAGCGGATCAGAACAACGAGCTATATTGTTATTATTGTCGAACGTATTATCATATCTGTAACAAAAAAGAAACGCTGTAAGTTTTTTGGGCAACTTGCCGTGGGGACTCAATTACTTTTATTTAATTTAGCCCTTAATTCTAATCTATTTTTTTTAAATAGCAAGTGACGGCATGAACAAATCGTATGCCTGGTGGTAAGCGACACGTGTGTCCCAGTGTCACCCAGAGCTTTCATTCGCAAAGATCTTATTTATTTAACTCAGGCCACATGACCCATATAATATATACCATAAGGAGTAACATACATACAAAATAATAAAACACTGTAAGAGGGCTGCTGGTGATGGTGGCGTTATGTCCTGTTGGATGAAATGTAGTAGTAGCCTCCGCAGTCTCCGCAGCCTCCATACATCTTACTTAGTAAGTTTAAAGTTCAAAGTTCAAAAGGGTAAAGGGTAGTAATGTAATATAAAAAGGTAATAATGTGATAAAGGGTAGTAAAGTAATGGTAATAAATCGTTTTATAAGTATTTATTGCGGTTTTAACAGTACTTATGATCTTAAAAATGTATATTGTACAAGAGATTTTTAGTAAAATGGTAAACGGTTTAAACAAAAATAACAAGAAGATGTGTTCTCTGCCGCGATAGAACAGGGAGTGACGATAGAACGAAACAAAATCAGAATGTGAGGCAAAAGAATGGAACAATTCAAAATTTGAATTTAAATATGAGCGAAAGAAAAGCGATAAAAAGGTGGGATGACGATGTAAGGAGGTGACACCGTCACAACACTATTTATAACTAATCTACACGAATTGCACTTGTCGGCGACGTGGCGCAATCTGGTGTCCTGACACCTGTTACCGGTAACCGACCGGGGAATCGTCTAATGTGAGCATTACTGCGTTTCGGTTATGAAGGGTATTTATAGGTGCTGCTGAAAGGTGGTACTTTCCAACTTACGTCTCATGTGACGGGCACAGTAGTGCCCCTCAGATCTTTGCGATATAAAGCTTTGAACGTCACTGCAACTGTTATGGATAGACGTGTCGCTTACCACCAGGCGCACGACCGACTTGTTCGTCCCATCACTAACTTTTTATCATTAAAAAAATTGAAAAATAGTGATACTTTTTTTACACAGTTCACATGTAGGTTATTTGCAAACAGTATTTCGTTCCCTTGTGTTGACAAACCTTGATAACTCCATATGTGTAGAGTAATAAATTAGGATACGAAAATATGGAAAACCACACTCCTCGAAGCGTAAAATCACATCACTAATATCGAACACATTGATAACGACTAATTTGACGTGTCGTGTCGTGGCTTCGGCCATC